TCCGATCGAAAGGTTTGGGGAATTTATGATTAATCATTTGTTATTCATTCTAACACATTATCTGCTGGCTGCTATTTAAAAGGTTTAGCAGATCCGATGATCGTTAGCCAAGGAACTATTATTTCAGGAATTATGACTTCAAACAAAAAAAATGATTCAAACAGAAACGAATGTTAGTTAACACTAGGTTTACGGGCATTTATCGTGTAGGTATCTCCACGGCACGCGTCAACGAACCCGCAGATTTTCTTTAAGAAACAACTTATTTTATATAATACACAATTTATGACCTCTGAAATTAATGCATAGCTATAGAGATAGGTATACCACATAGAGAATTTCGAGGTTAGAAAGCATTCGAAATGCGTCAAAATGACGCGTCCCGTAAACCTAGTGTTAAACAAGTCTTAAATATTATTTACGAAAATATATCCATCTAATGGCAAAAAATTAAGCAATACTATACGATCTCATATTGAATATTCCGGGTCATAACATGAGTTATAAATTCTAAGTAAGTTAATGATTCCAAATGAAATCTGACAGTCGTAAAGGGTTAAATTGGGTATAAGTTAAAATGAAATCAGGGAAGTGGATTTAACTATTGTTACATTGTAATATATGTAAATTATTGCTGTGAATTTATAATAATTTATAAATTCTTTTCGTTTTTGAAACGAGAAAATCAAAGTGTGGTACCAACCTAAAGAAATAGGCAACAAGCTCGGCATGAAGTTGTTGTGGTCTCCATGGTGAATAATGTTATAAATATCCTTCCCGAGTACATCGGCCTTCGTATAATTTATATATTGTTTTATATTATCCGTTACGTACTCCACGCGTCCCTCCGCATTTACAACAAATAGAAAGCCATCTATCGCCTAGACAAAAGAAAAGCAATTATTTATTTATAGTGAAAGTTATAACTGTGATTTAAAAGAGGATCATTAATTAATCAATAAATTGATTTGCGTTCAATAGATACTCGCAATCATAAACGAAATATAGTACCAGATATTTTATATTATATCACACTACCGTGTGTATATTTCCTTTATAAGTTTTTAATAAGTTTTCTGAAGCGACTTTCAGTAATTATGAAAATTCATTTTTACAGATCGATCATATCATATGATAAAGGGACTACCGATTTGTATGCAATCTTCATAAACTGTTACGTAAAAAATAAATAATAAAAGGCAATTTTATTTTTATGCATAAAGGCTTCGTTAAGACAGAAATAAAGTAATTCATTTAATTTCAAAGTCACCTCCCATGAAATTCATATTACGATAAAGGCCGCTAATTAAATCTGACTTCAAACGAACAACTGATTCATGTTGCTTGTAGCTGATTAATACATAATTCATGCGGCAAGAATCCATCCGATCAATGCGTTCTTTGGAAAGAAATTGGTTCATACCTCAAGTAAAATAGGGCCAACTTGATCGTTGGACAGTATGTTACGATTCGATGAAGACACTTCCCCCTGTTGCACGGCATGACTGTTCGAGCTTTCCTGTTGCCTAATGTGCCGAATCTGTGGATGAAAAAACAAATCATTAATAAAAATTTAGATTAAAAAATTATTCGATAGTCGCAACATTTCACTCAACTGCATTGTAAAAACTCACTATATATATTAACCCTTTAACGGTGTATGACAAATATACGCGTCATAAAGAAATAATCACTTTTCGGGTAATGACAAGAATACCCGTCATATAAAAAAAAAAAACATCTTGCTACAAAAAGGAAAATTTTAGTAAGAACTGAAAAATATATATCCTTTATTAGAATAAAGGAATCAAATGGTTGTACATTTGAAAAACAAAATTCCACCGTTAAAGGGTTAAAAAGCATGTTTCTCGCAACGCGAATTATTGACTTAGCATCGATCCCATATTCCAAGAAACTTCTAATGTCAACCATTCGCTAACTCCCAACGTGTTACATCTTCTAACAAAATAACACAATAAATAGCCCAACTGAAATGTTCCAGTTGCGCCGTGATACTGTCCTTTATATTACAGTTCAACGACTGCCGTTTATTTTCTGTCGCCAGATTACTCGTTGTTTATCGTCCGTTTTAATTTTAACGGGAGCGTAAAGCGCTGAAAGAAATTCATCTGCGTCGTTGTTCTTTTTATCGTTCCTTAGCACGACACAATTATTAAGGGAAAAAAAAGAAAGGAACCGCGTTTTATTGCTCATAATCCCCTGTTACCACCGAAACCGATCGATATTCCCTTTAAATTCCGAATCACGCTGTTACAAAGAGAACCGTAATATTATTTCTCATTGGAATTTCAGATCGCAGTTAATTGCACACAGCGAAATAAATCGTATTTGCATTTCACGTTCGCATATTCATGGCATTATCGCAACGTGAAACGTAACAGCCGGGAGAAAAACAGAGACTCGGACACCGATTTCTCGAATCGCAACTGCCGCGAAAGCTTACCCACGGTTTAACACATTAAGTCCCAAGCAGTGAAATAAAGCGATTTTTACATGTGTAAATATTCATTACTTATAAAAGTATATACGAAAGAATCTAAATGCTATCAACAAAATTTTTGGATCGGGTAAACTCACCAATGAAGGAACACTTCAAAGATTTTGTAACTATTAAATTAAAGTCGAATTTTGAATGATAATAATATTAATAAATATTTGGCATATGAAAATGACATTTTTTAATATCTATAAATACTTTTTTATAACGTATAGATTTCAATTTGAAAATTGGAAAAATGTAGTTATTCAAATTAAAAAGAAAAATATAGATTTCACCACTGAATGAATAATCTTAAGTAAATGAAGGTTTTTATCCAATGGCGCGAAATTTGTTTGAATACGAAATAAGAAATTGAAAAAATCAATCATCATTTACTTATTATAATAGATAAATTTATTCATTTGTATATAGAATGTTCATTCACTAGTGCATCCACCCTCGGTACTTTTTGTGTAACAAAAATTTCCATGATTGAAACAAAATTGATTTAACACAGTGTTATAAATATTTCAATTTCTTAAAATTTCAAAACATCATAGGATCTAAATGAAAAAAGAAATAGTAAAAAAAAAAAATATCGACCAGATCTATGAAATCCTCTTTCGTAACTGCAATATGAAAAACAGAATTCAGTAAAGTAGATTTAATGAAAAAAAATTAAAAGTTTTTTTTTCTGTTTTGTAATTTAGTCGTCGAATAACGTCTGACTTAATTTCATTTTGTCCGCTCATAAACATCGCGTTGCATATTACATACAACGTCGCATAACATGGCGCGAATGTGTATATTGCGTTTAACGCAATGAATTATTTAAGGAGGCCGCATATTTTTCCCCGTTTTCCCCCCGGTTTTTAATATTGAAAATTGTTCTTTATTTATAGCTTGGCGAAGACAAAACGTAATATTGCGCAAGTTGCCTGAAACGGTCGGTTCCCGTGCAATTAAATATGGAAGGCATTGTCGCGAATGCGATTAATGCTGCGAAAGTGATATTCGCGTCGAGGCAACACGCCCACATTAGTGGACTGTATGGATAAACCTTCCAACTTACGTTTTTAAATGAAAAATATAATTACAAATGGTTATTAAAAGAGAAGAAAAAAGGACAAGAAAGTATTTCATTTTGTGTTACAACGGGTGAGCCAAATATCACTAATAAAATTTAATTTTATTAGTACAATTCTTAAATGATTTATAGAACATTTAATTAAAGCGGTAATTATTAATGGAAGTAACCTAACATAAAAAGTATTCTATAATAATTGTAATAGATAATAATATTGATTTGTAGTATTGGTCATAATAATAGTGAAACAATATTAATCACTGTATAGGTGTTAATTACCTTTGAAACTCCAATTAATTTACGCCTAATTCAAAACATAATTGCAATGTAATTATAAAGAAATATAATAACAGGAAGTACTAATATAATGTAATACAATATAATACGGAACTACACTTATACTTTATAATAATCAAAGTTCAAGATGTTTAATAAAATATTACTTTCACTAATATTAACGACATAAAAAGCATACATTCCGTAATATAATGCCACTTCTATTAAGATTTACAATTTTTATATAGAAAATATATAAATAATGTATGTATTAACAATGTAGGTAAAACTAATATTTCTGCCCAAATTTGTATAATGAAAAATAACGAATTACGAACTGAATGAATTAGAGTTTACTAAAATAGCATACCAACCATGCACTAATTTTATTAATTGCACAATCGCTATATTTTCAACATATGAAATATTAAAAAATTTTCAGCACGAGCAAGTTCAATTGTTCTATTATTATAATGTGAATCACTATTGCATAACAAATCACTATAAAGTAAAAACTTCAATGTTTACAATTATCGACTAGATTTATTCTTATTAGTAACACGAACCTAAAATACGTAATAAAATAATAAAATACGAGCGAGACAGAGTAAACTGGCAGTAAATACAAATAAAATATTTATGTCCTCGCGAAAACCATGATCGTAATAAAAGACAGAGAGAACGAAACAAAGAACGTGGCAATAAGGATACTGAACGTTAATTTTCGATGGAAAGTTTTTTAGGTTCTCACAAATTTCCTTGCAGCTAGCACGAACTTCTTAATTCTGACGCGATTATCGGCACTCACTGACAAATGTTTGAACTGATAATCCACATTCCGCCGCCTTGTGTGATAATTGAATACAACAAACTGTTGTATCTGTCCTATCTGTCTTGAAGTTTCAAACAATTACTCATCTGCTTTTCCGTCACAATGGTGGCGCGCTCGAGCACGATCGCGTGCATCACCTCGGACGACTCTAATAAACTGCTCCATAACAATTTAAGGTTTCATCGAATTGAAAGTGAAAAAACTTTGTTAAATTCTACCAAGGTTTTCATTAAAATTATCATTTTCGGCATTCGTATGTAGTATAAATGCATACAATTTTTCAAGTCGAAATTTTTTCGAATACATTACTATTAAAATTGTACCATTTTATGAACTTTTGTTTAATTTATACAATTCAACTATCATTGCACATTCTTTCAGTCATCTTTTTCATTGTAATTTCCATTCAGTTAGATCGTTACGTCTTTTAATCATTGCTGGCGATCTACTAAACTCTCAGCTGATCTTCGAACAGGCAAGCAGCTTAAGATATCCCCAAACAAAGAAATTGAGCGAACTGAGACTCGAGTATTTCCTCTAACAGGAAACTTTTTAACACTGAAAATTGTAATATCGTTTTATCACTGCGATAAGTAGGATAAGTTCATAACGTTTAGGGGCCTTTATTTTAGAAGCACTCTGTATACTAACGATGGTCTAACTTACGTCAATACATTTTTTATACTGTCAACCAAATGAAAAATAATACAATAGTTTATTTGTAATGATTAGACTGTGGATGTTTATGCGAATTTAGATTTTTGGGGATTAATTTACAGGAAACTAAGTCAAACTAAGATTTATTTACTTTATTTACTATTCTACTAGGTTCCAAAGAAAACAAAAACTTCTTCAAAATTTATCAAACTCTTATGTATAGTAATTCTAGAGAATTGTGAGTACTATAAATGTACAAAGTCCGCAGTCTAGTAATAATCGTACCCTGTTGGTGGACTACAGAAAGGTGGTAACGCTGAAGAAAAATGAAATATTAGGATAGATTTCATAGCAGGTCAATGCTGGGTCACTTATAACCTGTATCTAAATATTCATTATACAACTTTGATGACTAGTTATTAGATACTAAATATCATCTAATAATGCTTACGATGTATAGACAAAGATCTGTTCAACAAGATTATCTGTTCTGTTTATATCAAAATCAGGCACCACGTGGTTCCTAATGAAAAGAAATATAGAATAAAATTTTGTCATTCTCGGTTTGGTTGTGGAGAAAATCGAATTTGAAAATTAATATGAAACGCGTGTATTCGTAGAGGTAGTAAGTAGAAACGGAATGCAGTGACCAGACCAGGCAATTCCTATTCAATTGCGCGCGTATCCAGCAGATATTCAAAGTCGTTTTCTTTTTTCCGAAAACTAAGCCGAGAATGACAAAATTTTATTCTATATTTTTTCTTATTTTCTCATGGAGAATCACGTAATGCATGCTTTTACATATTATTCAATCAGACTTTTTTTTCTTTTTAGTATTTCATTACACATTGCATTCTCTGGATTAACCTTAACTAACTCCTTAAGAGCTCACTCAACTTAAAAAAAAAATCTATCAAAATAGAACACCATTTCCTATTTCATTATTTTATTGCATAAACGTTTGTATAATCATATCAAAAATTATTCCTCAGAAAAAATGTCCATTTCTTTTTACTATTTTTTTTTTTACTATTTACCAATATCTAAGATATGTGAATGGCACAAAAGTTAATGTCATATTTTCGTCAAATGTAATATTAATGGCTTGAAGGGAGCTTACTTGGGTCCCTAAATTTGGGTCCAAAGTAACCCTGCATCAGCTGGCCTAAGGGTTAACAGGTTACGAAC